GACTTCAAATCTTGGTCTGCAATACTGTAGTGCCCACCTGCAGCTAAGGGAGACAACCAGCTATTGTTCTAAAATGATGGATAAATTTGTTCTGTCCCCCTATTTAGAAGCCTTTGAGAGGGACCTGACACTGATTCTAACTACTCCAACAGCTATCAAAATACCTGAGAGCAAATCCTGAATCCATTACTCTAGAGTCCAGCCTTGGAAGACAAAAGAAAAATGAGGAGGAACCCAATAGAGGGATGCTTTTGGAAGCCCTTGTCAAGAAATTCCAATGGATTGTTGTGAACATCTGAAAATTGCCCTGTTCTTTTTTCTAGTTCCCCAGCTAGAGAACTTGGAATGCTAATTTCTCTTGCCTTTACTTCTCCTTCACATCTCTTAGTCACGATTCAAGGAGTTTCTTTTCCCCTTAGAGATGAGAGTTATGCAATTTGGGAGCCTTTTAGATAGACCCACTGAAGGGGTACTCCAGTTGCCTCACCCTGCGTCCCTGTCCAGCATGGAAGAAGCCAGAGTGGTCGGTGTCCCTATTCCCTACTGGCAATTTGGGTAACCTCTTCAGAGGATGGTGTGATAAGAGTAGGAGGTAGGAATTGGCTAGGCAGTTAGGGTAAAAAGACCCCAAAGAAATGTAGCCAGTTTCTTGGCTAAAAGTCAAAATGCCCTTGGACCTGTTAGCAACATGCTCTCTTCCAAAGGCCAAAAGTGTCAAAAGTATTTGGGAGCTTGTATCTAATCCTTAAAAATTTTAGGGTTACCTCTTCAGAGGGGGGAATGTTAGAGTACTCAAAAGCCCATAAAAATAAATACATGAAAGAAGGGGGAAAAAAAAAGAAAAACGTGACAGGGAGATATGGGAGGTATTAGAAGGGAGGGAGTGGCCATGAACTTGATCAAAACACCTTATATGTATGTATGATATTCTCAATAAAGTTTTTGTAAAAGTTAAAAAAAAGACATCCTTTCCTATCCCCTCCCCTACAGGGTGAGCCATACCACCTCTCAGATAGAAAACCTCTGTTATATATATATGTGTGTGTGTGTGTGTGTACATATATATATATGTTTATTTTATGTGTATGAGGGTTTTACCTGAATGTATATAAGTGCACCCATGTTGTACAATGCCCACAGAGGCCAGAAGGGTGTCAGATCCCCTGGAACTGGAGCTCCAGATGGTTTTTAGCTGCCATGTGAGTGCTGGGACTTGAACCAAGGTCCTCTGGAAGAGCAGCCAGTGCTTTTAACCACTGAGCCATCTCTCCAGCCCCATTCCTCTTCATTTTAAAAGGTTCCCAAATATATGCCAACCCTGTTTCTTTCAAAAGAAAAGAAATGTCCCAACTTTTCTGCCTCATATGTTCACAGCCGTCACAGTCAGAAATCTTCCTCTGGATTTCCTTGGCGATTTTATCACAGTGAGTGCTCTTTCCTTGATGAAAGGAAAACCAGTTTCCTCTTCTTTGAGTGAACTGCTGCTCAGAGAACTTCAGAATATCTGCTGTCCTTCATGAATAATGTCCCAGCACCATAGGAATGTCACATTCTGCCTTAATCATGAACAAGTGACTGTGATCATCCTACTCTCCATGGATTCCTCCATCCCACCAATGCTTCAGAAATGAAGGGGAGGAAGTAAAGAGATGGCTTCCAAGAAGAGTAAAGGTTGAGGCCCAGGTCACCTGCCCAATGGTATCCTATCAGCCTCCATCCCTGAAATTTACTCGGTTCTTTTCCCTCAGCTGGCATCCTGCCATTTGTCTTCTCTTCACAGGCCTGTGACTTTACAATCATCTATGACCCTCAAGTCTGTGTTCCTTTCCACAACAACACTGATGAGTACACACTGAAATCATCTAGGCTGCTTAGCTTTAACTGTAAACATGACACAACCTTGCATCACCCAAGAAGAAAGCCTCAACTGAGGAATTGTCTAGATCAAGCTGGGAATGTCTGTGGGGAATTGCCCTGATTGTTCATTAAATGTGGGCATTTCTTTTGTCCTGGACTGTACAGGACAAAAGAAAATTAGCTGAGGAGCAAGATCCATGTGTTCATTCTTTCTAATTAATGTGGTTGTGATGCTTCAATTTTTTCCCTGAAGTAATGGACTATGTAGCCTGTAATTGTAAGCTAAATAAATGCTTTGCCCCCCCAAATGAAGTATTTGGACTCATAATTAGAAAACAGAAGCACCAGCAGAATGGGGTAGCACACCCTGTAATTCCAGCACTTGGAGGAAGAGGCAGGAGAGCTGTCCACAGGTTCAGGCTAGCCTGGTCTACTTAGTGAGTTGTAGACTACCCAGGGTTACGTAGTAAGACACTACCTTGAAACATCAAAAAGGAAGG